GTCTCTTGGAGGAGAGACGAAACGTTTCATTAGAGAAGAACCCGTCCAGAAGACTTATACAATTTTTTTTCTTTTTGTTTTAGAGAATAATTCAACTTTGTGCAACGGAGACACAATGGGTCTAAATGAATACTTTTGAAGGAAATGTCCAGATGCTTAATCGTTTTGGTACCTGGGATGGAGCCTGCAACCTGACCTGGTTTGGAGCYGTTAGCTTCATGGAAAGCAGCAAAGCGTTCAAGCAGAAAGCCTAAATATGGGCAATGATTTGATAAGCTGCCTTTTTTATGTTTTCTTTTTTTTTTTTTGTCAGATTTTATTGTCTGCCTGCCTTTGTTTAGTGGTCGCCTCCACCCTCAGCAGCAAAAGCCCCCCCTCTCCCCACTTCTTCATCAACACACAACCTCCTCCCTCCTCTTTTTTTTTTATCCTTTACTCCCACCCAACCAAAAAAATAAAAATAAAAAACTCCCGCCGCTCCCCGCGTTCTGCGCCGCCGAAGGCACGCCGGGGGCGGCCGAGGCACGCACGCGGGGCTCGGTGATCCAAAGGCCGCCCGCTGCCKGTGGCTGGCTCGGTGAACTGGAAACGACTTCTCGCTACTCCCCCGCATGGGGGGGAGGAGGAGGGGCAGAGACCACCGCTGTGACCGCCGAGAGACATTGAGAGCGGGGTTAAAGTCCTCGACAGGAGTGCTAATTTATCTGTCTGGCACGGCGAGCCGGAGAGTAAAGACAGATTTATGGGTTTTTTTTAGCCTCCTCGGCATGTCGTATTTATCGCATAATAATGTTATGATTTATAATAAAGTACAAGTTGTTTTTTTGTTTGAGTTCGCCTCTAACACGGTGCGGTGAGCCACTTTCAGTGCAACCCGCGAGCAAGTTCACTGTCAGAAACTTCCAGAATGTCAACCACCAAAAATAAAAAATATATATATATATAATAAAGCCCCCACGCTAGGCGTTTAACAGCCATGTTCCGGAGAGTACACCTCTCCAGTCTGTCCCGTTTCGACCTGTCAGCTCAGCGACGATAAACGGACGGTTGTGACAAGTTTTGTCTCATTTCATACCCGGCTTTCATCACGTCTCCACCCGGGTATCAGATACACACCGCCTCCGGCGGGGGAGTCATTGACTTTAGCTTTTCCTACCCCCTCCGGGGCGACCTTATTATTATTATTATTATTATTATTATTATTAGCTTATTACCTGGCGGTCCCGAGGGGGCTTTATTTGCATGTGTCCAGCCTGTCTGGGGGGGTGCCCGAGGGGCGTTTAAAGGACAAAAACAAACTGCTGTAGCGAGTTAAAGTTTGCGGGGAGGTGAAGAGGTGAGGAGGAAGTGGACCGAGGACAGTGAGTGAGCTCGCGAGGCGTTTTTTACCTTCTTTTTTAAATGCGCTCGTGGGATTCAGAGCTTATAACTTAATAGAGATATGGTTGCCGCAACGTGCCTGTCTAAAAAAAATAAAGTGTTCTGATTTTTTGGGGTCTCATTCTGGTTTAGTTTTGGAGCTCACGGACAGAAAACTACAGGTCTAATGTGAACCTAAACTGGTCCTGATGTTGTTTTTTTGACCAGGGAAAAGTGCTTTTAAAATCGTGCGCGCGCTCCCGACTTTCCCCGTCCGAGCGGGTTTTTCTTCAGGTTTTTCTTCTTCTTCTTCTCCCCCTCTCTTTAAAGTAGTACGGTTACCTGGAGCGGCCGGTGTTGCAGTTTCCCGAAGCGCCGCCGGCGAGTTTATGTCGCTTGCGTTCCCGTCCAGCAGGTCTCCGTCGTCGTCTTCTTCTTCATCAAAATCTCCTCCCTCGGAATTAACCACCATGCCCTCGCCTTCCTCGCAGGAGCGGAGAGGAGAGGACATTATCCTCCCGTCATCGGATGGGGTCCTCAAAAAAAAAAAAATCTGCGCGATTATAATGGGATATTTATTTAATATTCAAATCGGCACGAGGAGGGGGGAAAAAGGTGAGGGGGGGTGCGTTTTGGCATATTTTACACTAAAGGCAGAGCAACAAAGATGGCCGCCCTCTTATATTTATTTTTTAACAACCCCCCCAATAAGAAAAAAAAATCCCCTTACATAAAAAATGGCTGACTATATTATTTCAGAACGCGCCCCCCTCCTCCTTTCTCTATCTCTCTTCGTGTCTCTGCCTCTGCGCG